CACAGAGGTTTTGCAATTAATTCCTGGTTTTCAGGCTCAGCTCTAACCATTCATATGGAATCAAACAAGAGTAATAGCTGTCCACAACTAAAGTCCTCAGGATTTTGAGTTATTCAAGTCCAACTCCTTGCTGCATCTTATTAGCAAATTACCATAGTCACAGGAAAGAAAACAAAATCCTTTTCCAGCTGCCACCAACAGGAAAGTTGTACTAACTCAGCTTGACTCAGATGCAGCCACACATTTACAGCTTCGAGTCATGCTTTTAATTCTCATGCCCGGTATAAATTTTGATGATAAACCATATTTACTCAGAACACCTCTTTTGCATACTGTTCATTAAAATATGAAATTAACTCCAGACTATCCTCTTCTGCCAAGATCACACCAGCTACTCAATCTCAGCAGCCCTCTCTCTTCCCATGAATATCGCCTTCAACAACAGTTATGTCCCACTTGAACAATGCACCTGTTAACATCTAGACTTCAATCTATGTGCAAAAAACCCCACATTAAGGAAGCTGTATGATAGGAGTAGATCTCCTGATGACTCATTCACTGCCATAAAGCTTATTGCTGAAGACAAACATGACTAACATGAGTTCAGAGAATGAACATTTTTAACTCAGTGTTGAGTGTACCACTGTATAAAGGCTGTCCAGCTTGTAAACACCAGCATCTTGGTTGCATCCCTTAAGTTTTGCACAAATACATGTAGACATGGCTGTTTAGAGGAACATCACCACACACTACACTAAAAAAACACAAAGAACACACCAAACCTCCGAACTAAAATCACATAAAAGAAAAACTCGGGAGTAGTGAAATCTACAAGTCAATTTCTTTAGCTTCGGGGTTGAATTTCAAAATAAATAGTTTCTACTTCAAGTCTACACGCCTAACATACACTTGGACCACTTACTGTCTTGAAACCCCTGTAACAATTGCCCATTACTGTTTTGTTTGGTTTGCTGTTTTGTTTTTTTAAACTTGCATGTAAAGAAAAGATTTAATGTAAATTGAATAGTAAGTTTGTGAATCAAAATGACTCATGTAAATGAAAATGCATTTCCATGTTTCTTCTGACAATTAAATAGCTTTTAGCCTGCTATTAAAGCAATTTAAAGAGCTAACTTTGTATAATACGAAAAAAAACATTTGGAAACAAATCATAAAAGTATTTTTACTTTCTTTATGCTCAGTTATACTAGGTAAGCACAGCCATTCAATGCATAATAATGTTATGAATAGAATGTCATTTCGCCAATACAGAATAAAAATTATTCACTCAAAATCTTTTACGTTCACTTGTCCTATCTCACTACAACTAGAGCATGAAATGATAATTTCCAAATAATGAACGAGAAACACAGATAGTGAGTGGCCATACTGAAGATAATTTTTACAGTCAGTGGTAGAAGGAAAAAAAAAATTATTTCATTTTATAAGTTTAACAGAAAAATACAGTTTAATCAAGAACTTGACTATCTAGTCTTCTGATAACCAATGAAAGAAGGGCAATATGCTTAACTATATTAATGCTTTGTTACCATCACACACTCTTGAACTTTCACAGAATTCAGGGGGATAAGATTTTACAGGTAATATATGCTGCAGTTTTATTACTTTTTTTTTTTTTAATATGCTATAAGAGAGCAAACATTTTCTCAAAGTTCTGTAGTAGCCTTTATACATGTCAGGAGAATTCAACCCTGGCCATTTATTTGCATTACAGCACTACTGACATAAAATTTTAAAAAGACCAGATTTTAATGTATAGAGAAATTTCACCTTTATTTCATCTTTATCTCTTAAATGTTAAATATTGTGGCTCACTCTTCAACATGTCACATTAGGGTGCAGATTTGTAAAGTATAAATAAATCAAGAATAAAGTGTAGCAAATGACTTTAATTTAGAAAACTGTACTTAAATTTCTGATTTATGAATAAAAGTGTGTTCCAAAAATAGCAGACAACACTACACAATACAAAGAGGACAAGTAAAAAAAGGAATCTAGCTGCAAACCAATCCCCAAATCTGAAATAAATGATAATGTAAAATACTAAAACCAAATGTAGCCAACTGACTAATAAAGAAAATACTCCTGAGCACTTACAGAGGTGGTGGTTGCTTTAAAGAACCACCACATCATTCATGCATTATAAATTGCACTAGTTGAGCATGCTTAAAAGCACCACCCTGCAAATTATCAAGTGTGTATTTCTATTTTCATTTAAATATATGGGACTTTTTTAAAAAAATAGAATTGTATAGACCTATAAAGTATTATAGCATAAGTCCTTCTAATTTCCATTTATACATTGTATTTGTTTTTATTGTATTTCTTAAGATCTTGTCTCCCTCTAGTGACTGGCCTTCACAAAAACATACTTCTACCCATATTCAGACCTTGTATGTATAACCATGGCATAATTCAAGCTGGAAAGGACCTCAGGAGGTCTTCCGTCCAAACGCCCTCATGGCATTTCTGGTTGGCCCTGGTAGGAGCTCTCACCACCAGCTGCTTCCAATCAAGGTGAAGCCTCACTCCTGAATCCAGATTTATATACCTCCTAAAATTAACTGTAAAAGAAATGGAAGAGCCAGGAAAATCAAATCACTGGAACTATCTTGTTGGGATGCATCTTCATCACGAAGTTTCATCATTTCTTAACAGAGTAGGAGACATATTCCTTTGTGTATTGATGCAGTATATGGCTAGCAAGTTGTCTCTCCTGAGTTTCATACATGATCATCACGTGTGAAAGTAACATATAAAAATATTAATAACCAACTGAAGCTCAAAAGCTTTGCTTTGAAGGATTTGCCCCTTTACCAATCACATAACCTGAGCAAAGTTCAGTCTGAGTAAACTTGCCTATTCCTTCTACCAGGAAAATGTCTGTCATGAGAATTTTGACTAGTGGGAAGGGCTGAAGATGAAGAGTCCTATCTCAGACAAGAACCTCTGTCAAATAGAAAACAATCTGTTCATCGCCACTTGTGATCAACCACTACAGAGAACAGTAAGCTATATGAAACTGAAGATGATCTGAAAAGTTAAGTCAGAAAGAGTAAGGGGCTTCACTAGCCTGAATGCCACCATATTCCACAGGGAAGAGTCCTTGAACACAGGGGCTAAAGAGCTATGTCTTATTCTCTTTTAAGAAGTCAAAAGGACAAGAAAGATGTTCTGTCATCAGGGTAATTTTGTAAATTCAGTAACACTTAAGTTTTGGAAATTTATTTTAAAAACTAACAAACTCTTGCACAATTTTCAGATGTACTTCAGTAACATTTGAAACAATAATAAAAATCAGTGCAATATCAAATTGCAATATCAAAACAACATCTTTTCAACATAGAAGTGCACAAATAGCAACTGTCTCTCCTGTAGAAAGTGGTAAATAATCATAGTACTAGAAGAGAGCATCTCATACCACCGTGCACCAAATACTGCTAAGAAAAAGAAAATATATCACAAGTATACGTGCAGCAAAGGAAAGCAGAAAGGGATGGGTTGCCTTACAGTCATCCATCTGTATCCAAACCTTGATTCCAAGCTATTAGCTAAAGAACTGAAGAATGCTTCCAAGAAATTGATCCAGCTTTCATTTTTTATTTTGTTCTAAACACCGTGTCATCTTTCCAAGTCTCTAATTTCACGTTCACAGACTATTCATACAAATAGATCTGAAAACAGCAACAGCTAAGTAATGCTCTCCACTCTAATAGGGGTTTATTTTCAACTATCAGAGCATTGTAAAATTGTACTGTAATTATTTAATTTGGCTTGATCATGTCATTACTTTCTTGTTTCAAGTATTTTAAAAGCATACTGGAATTACCTCCCTCTTCTTTAGGGTGAGAGAGGGGAGTTTTATTTTTAAGGAAGAATGGGACATGAAAGAATCTACAGGAATTAATATCTGTGTAGAGTAAAATTAAATTTCATAGAAAAAACAAACCAGACTTTAAAAAAAAACAAAACCAGATATTATGAAGCCAATTGGCATAATTATTCAGTCAGAAGTAACACATCTACCATCATTTGACAGTTAATCCTATCATTTCAACAATAATTTACCATTTAGGCACTCTTAGACTAGCAATTTGCAGAGTAATTTTTATTTCAGTGCCTAAAGAAAATCAAATTTTATTTTGCATTCTGCATTTGTCTCTGTTGTGAACACACCAGTACGTGATCATTCCTCCCCCCCAGTAGAGTAGCATCTCTGCAGGTTTCAGGGCTGAATACATGCTTTAAGCACTTAATTTACAATATCCTTTACAGATTCCTCTCTAAATGTAAAATACTGTTTCTTAAAAACTTTGTTCTACAGTGTTTTTATCACCATGCCCTGAGATTTGTCCACATCAGTGCTTCAGAGCACAGGAAGAGCTCTCTTTGGTGCAAATTTTCCTTGCACTTATGCTTAGCCTGGTGGTAGGTGCTCCAGTGTGCTGCTGAGGTGTTCAAGGTAACTTCCTTC